TTGTTATTTTTTGTACTCAAATTCCTAATTATCAACCTTAGTTTAAAAAACTTCAATAAACTGATTAGATCCCATGAAGGAATAAACACAGACCTATTAGCCAGTGCACTATGAGCATAGCAAGGTCTATCAGATAAGTTATTGCCTCTACTTGTAAGATCTGGATTAGAAAAAGGTATTTTTTTTTCATATTTAATTTCCTAAAAAATGTATGAAGGTTAATAATTGGTCTCTTAGGTGCAAATGTTAGTACTATGTATGAAACCTTAGTTTCCTCCTTGGTTAAAACATTGATCCATGTATAAGTTGCAGTGCCACTCTAAGCTCAGATAGAGATATCCCCACCAGTTGCAGTGACTGGAGCAGTCGCCTATGCACCATTCAGGTGTGTAGAAGCATCATCAGCCACTCTGGCACTGTCTGAGGCCACACTCATCCATATATTCATGCACAGGGTTGGTGAGTGGTGCTCCTTCCTTTCTCTGATGTTGTTTAGAACATTGTTACTCATGTTAAATATCTCTTCACCTAAAATTGTTGTTTTATTTTTATTCTTCCTTCCTCCCCTTATCCTCTCATCCTACCTGCTCTCTGCCTTTGCTTTGGGGTACTGTATATATCCATTGTAATCTCAGGTTCTTCCAGGATGGGGTGTATTGTTTACCCAACTTTTTATTCTCAACATTTCTTTTTGTTGTATATTACCCTTGTTCATTTGATTTTCCCTCTGTGGATGTATATTCGGGGAATCTCTCAGGGCGTGTCTCTGAAATATTGTTTTCCAAAATATATTTTCCCCAACTTATTTCAAAATGTGAGAGGGTGCCACCAAACAACTTACCCAAAATCAAGAAATAGGCAGTTGCCCCTTTAAGTGTGTGAACCACTATACAGACCGGAGGTGACAAACAACCTGGAACCAGAAGTGATGTCAGCAGCTTAGCCTCCAGTCTCTGAGGAAAGCATGCTGGTTTCTTGGACACGAGCGGTGGTGCAAGTTGTCAGGTCCTCATCTAACAGGCTGATTATGTTGGTGTCATTCCTTGGCACCCCTTAATGTGAGTGCAATATTTATGTTTACATTAGTTGGATTGAATAAATATATATTTCACTATTGGTTTTCTCTCTGGAGTTTTTTGTTCCTCTTTGGTGGATGTAAGCTGTCTATCAACATCTATGGGTCTGGATATAGCTATTGTGTGACTTGGATTGTGGTACTATATGCTTTCAGGCTACCTTGTCAGTGAAAGGGTTCTGATAAGTAAGCAGTTATACATGGTGAAGCACTCTATTGATGAAGATTGTTGGTGCCAATTCATGATATTTTCACTAATCAAGAACACGGTGACTGGAAATATTCACAAGGATGGACTCTTAGCTTTAAGAATGTTATGATAACATTTTTTTCACTGTGTGGTTTATAATTTTATTATGTGTTCAAGTCTCTAAGTTAAAGGGCTAATGCCTACCTTTATTCTCCCCAAATTACCAATAATTTCTGCGATATTCCCCCTAAAATGTGGGGGATCTTCTAGGGTTTGAAATCTACAATGCTCAAAAAAATTAAAGGAACACTTTGAAAACACATCAGATCTCAATGGGGAAAAATATCATGCTGGATATCTATACTGATATGGACTGGGTAATGTGTTAGGAATGTAAGGATGCCCCATCGTTTGATGGAAATGAAAATTATCAACCTATAGAGGAGTGAATTCAAACACCCCGAAAATCAAAGTGAAAAAATGATGCAGCAGGCTAGTCTATTTTGCTGAAATTTAATTTCAGCAACTCAAAATGATACTCAGTGGTTTGTATGGCCCCCACGTGCCTGTATGCATGTCTGACAACATCGGAGCAGACTCCTAATGAAATGATGGATGGTGTCCTGGGATATTTCCTCCCAGAGCTGGACCAGGGCATCACTGAGGCTCCTGGAGAGTCTGAGGTGCAACCTGGCAGCGTCGAATGGACCAAAAAATTATATCCCAGAGCAATTCTATTGGAATTAGGTCAGGCGAGCATGGGGGCCATTCAATAGTATCAATTCCTTCATCCTCCAGGAACTGTTTGCATACTCTTACCACATGAGGACGGGCATTGTCGTGCACCAGGAGGAACCCAATACTCGCTGCACCAGCGTAGGATCTGAAAATGGGTCCAATGATTTCATCCCAAAACCTAATGGCAGTCAGGGTGCCATTGTCTAGCCTGTAGAAGTCCGTGTGTCCCTCCATGTATATGCCTTCCAAGACCATCACTGACCCACCACCAAAACGGTCATGCTGAACAATGTTACAGGCAGCATAACGTTCTCCATGGCTTCTTCAGACTCTTGCATGTCTGTTACATGTGCTCAGGGTGAACCTGCTCTCATCTGTGAAAGGCACAATTCTGGTGTTCAGTTGCAAATGCCAACCAAGCTCTATGGTCCCAGGCAGTGATCACAGGGCCCACCAGAGGACGTTGGGCCCTCAGGCCACCATCATGAAGTCTGTTTCTGATTGTTTGGTCAGAGACATTCACACCAGTGGCTTGCTGGAGATCATTTTGTAGGGCTCTGGCAGTGCTCATCCTGTTCCTCCTTGAACAAAGGAGTAGATACTGGTCCTGCCTGTCTCCTGGAATCTCCTCCATGCTCTTGAGAGTTTGCTGGGAGACACAGCAAACCTTCTGGCAATGGCACATATTGATGTGCCATCCTGGAGGAGTTGCACTGCCTGTGCAACCTCTGTAGGGTCCAGGTATCGCCTCATGCTACCAGTAGTGACACTGACCCTAGCCAAATGCAAGACCAGTGAAAAACAGTCAGAAGAGATGAGTAGGGAAAAAAATGTCAGTGGCCTCCACCTGTAAAACCATTCCTGATTTGGGGGGTAGTCTCATTGTTGCCCATCTAGTGCACCTGTTGTTAATTTCATTAACACCAAAGCAGCTGAAACTGATTAACAACCCCCTCTGCTACTTAACTGATTAGATTAATATCCCAGGAGTTTAATTGACTTGACGCTCTACTCTGATTAATAAGTGTTCCTTTTATTTTTTTGGGCAGTGTATTTTTGTGGGTATTTCAAACCCTAGATGCTAGTTATTGAAATGATTTTTATTGTGCTGAGATTCCCCATGTTTTTAAAGGTTCCTTAAATTGTTTATTCCTCTATCTCTACTCTTAAGTGTAAATCCATGGCTTACCTGCTTTACCAGGTCCTCTCAGATGAAGATTCCTTAGAATCCTGGGCAGTTTTAATACCTCCTCCTGCCATTTATATCCCCATACTTTTTTTGTAATCACTAACATTTCTCTGAACTTTCTTATATTTTTTCTTTTTAACATCAATATATATTTGTTAGAAATTCTTGTAGCATGCCACACAGTTGTTAATAGACTGTCAATTCCTTAAAGAAACCAGTTTATCTTTAATCTCTGGAATCCTATTTTCAAATTTCCCCATCTTTCTTCTCCACAGTATTACCAAGCCAAGAAACTTCTTTTCAGAACAATTTAAAAAAGGGGTTTCCTACCAAAATCCACAGAAAAAAGTATCGCACAGACTGCATAGTCAGCTTTACAGCAGTTAGTGTGGTCCACATTTTATTCCAATAGTTTTTATTGAAGAAAATAGCATAACAGACAACAAAACAGTTCTTGCACATTACTCATAGCACAATAAGTGGCCCTCATAGAATAACACGAGTTTGTGAAAATAACAAAGACAGAGCATACACCCTGTCAGTAAGCAAAACTCAGCAATTGAAAATGTTCAGACAAGGAGGTATAAACAAAAGCAAAACAACAGGAGTCCTAACACTATGCATAAGTTTGCAGTAGTTCAGTCCACAAGTAGTCAGGAGTATTACCAACCCCATCGGCAAAGTATACATCGGCAGTACATAAAAGACATAATGATATCAATACAGTGATAAAATACAGAGAAGGGGAGGGGGATAGGGAGGGAGAAGATAAAGGAGGAAAAATACCCAAAAACCCTGTTCGCGTGCCTGAAAGCATAGTCAGAGTCAGAGCCACAGAAGGCCTTAAAAACATTATTAGAACCATGAAGGATAGGGGCACAGAGAAAAGGGAAAAAAGCAAGAACAGCAGAAGAAAGTAAAGAAAAAGAAAGAAAAAAAGAAAAAAGAAAAGAGGGCCAACCTAAGGCTCGCTAAGGAACTGATATATATCGGACCCATGGATCTCAAGTCTTGTTGAGTTTGTTAGCATTATTTTGAAGAGTACAGGTGAGTCTGTCATTAACCATTATCCAGTTAAGTTTATTCTTGACATAATCAAGAGGAATTACCGACAGTTTACAATATTTGCAATAGTAATTCTTGCAGCTCACAACTTATAAGTAATCAATTGGAATGACTTTCTGGGGACATCTTCAGGAAGTTTGTGGAAAATGGCTGTTTCCGGGGATCTGCGAATATTTACTCCCATCAAAGAGTAGATAAAGTTAAATATACCAATCCAAAATCTAGACACTATTGGGCATTGCCAACAAATGTGGTGCATAGTTCCCATCTGTAGGCCACATTTTAAAAATGACACACAGAATGCAGATTTAAATCCCAACAACCCACATTAAAATGTATATATTTCCCAAAAAAGAAGGAAACACTGTATTGACTCCACAGTGTTTATTTTATAGTAAACTGCATTTAAGTAAGAGATACAACATTCAGCTTTTAATCCAAAAATAACATCAGAGTGTATTTATTTCACATAAAAAGAGAGATAAATATTGTACAGACTCCATATAATGCCTAACTGTATTAGCAGATATGGCAATGGGGGGGGGGGGGGGGTTAAGGATGTGGTGCTTTGGTGTATTAACCACTTGCCTACAGGGCACTTATACCCCCTTCCTGTCCAGGCCAATTTTTCAGCGTTCAGTGCTGTCACACTTTGAATGACAATTGCATGGTCATGCAATACTGTACCCATATGAAATTTTTATAATTTTTTTGAGACAGATAGAGCTTTCATTTGGTGGTATTTAATCACCTCTGGGTTTTCATTTTTGCTAAACAAACCAACAACAACTGAAAATTTTGAAAAAAAAAAAATGTTTTTTCTTAGTTTTTGTTATAATATTTTGTAAATAAGTGATTTTTCTCCTTCACTGATGTGCGCTAATGAGGCTGCAGTGATGGGCATTGATAGGCTGCACTGATAGGTGGCACTGATGGGCACTGATGAGGTGGCACTGATGGGCATTGACAGGCATCACTGATGGGCACTGAAAGGCAGCACTGAAAGGCGGCACTGACTGGCACTGATAGGTAGCACTGATAGGTGGCACTGACTGGCATTGATAGGTGGCACTGACTGGCACTAACAGGTGACACTGAAAGTCAGCTCAGATGGGCACTGATATGTGGCATTGATGTGGCACTGATGGGCACTGGCAGGTGGCATTTGATGAGCACTGACAGCTGGCATTGATGGACACTGACAGGTGGCACTGCTGGAGCTACACTGATCATCAGGGCACACTGATCATCAGTGCCCTGATGATCAGTGTACATGCCCCCTCTGAGGGATGCCGATTACCGGCTCTCCACTCCTCATGAGCTGCCAGCGTGACAGCTCGTGAGGAGAGAAATGCCGATAACTAGCATTTCCCTATTTACATGTGATCAACTGTGATTGGACACAGCTGATCACATGACCGAGTTGACATCTTTGGCTCTTTCCATTGATCGGTGATCTGCTGTGTCCGAGGGACTCAGCGCCCCACTGATCGCCGCTCTGCACGCCCCCAGAGCTGTGCATGTGTGGTTTGAGTGGGAGGACATCATATGCCATCCTCCCAGAATGAGAGAACCACCTGGCGCCCATCATTACCTTATATGGTGGGTGGGGAGGCGGTTAAACTGTGCTGCACCGGTATAAGATGTGCTGCAAACAATAGGATAGCTTTGCCTGTTTCAATAACCATATCCAGCTGCTGAACCCTAAAAAAAATTATTATCCTGGATTTATATAGTTTACACAGTGCTTTACAACATAAGAGCAGACAGTACAATTACAGTACAATTACAATACAAATTAATACAGGAGGGATCAGAGGGCCCTGCTCGTTAGGGCTTACTAAAAGACTCCAGCAAAATTAGATTTAAATAAAATCTAAAACATTGAATTACAACCCTAAAACACTAATCCCTAACCCTAAAACACGAAACCTCAAACGTGTATTTTTTTTAACTAACTAAAAATAAAAAATAAATATGTAATATGAAAACATGAAGTAAAAGAAAAAAAAGAACATTGGTTCTAAAAAAAAAACCAAAAGTATATATGAACAAATAGTGAAAAAAAACATTTTTAGCATTTCGAAAAATCCCAAAACGTTAGATATGCAAAACATGCAAATACATATCAATATACATTGCATCAATAAATTTAAAAAAAATCTTTTTTATCTAAAAAGTTCCAGATATATTATGCTGTGATAGACTGTTATAGGTGAAATGCTACAATAAACTTATCCTATCCACCAGATGTAACACACTCCAAAATGTAAAGTGCCCCTTTGAGAATTATCTACAGCTTCCAAAAGCTCATTCACAGAAAATGATGGACCTCAAGCTATAAAGGTCTTGTTTCATGTTATATGATCCAAATTTAGAGACCTTCCGCTGCACAAACAACTTTCCCACTCTCTTCACAAATACTTATCAATAGCAAAGAAGCATGCAAAAAGAAGTACTCTAATAGCTTATTGTTGGTTTGATTAAACAGTAATTACAAAACCTTTATAAGGTATTCTCAGATTAAAGAATTGCACTGATTATTATAAATCAACTGCTTGATAGGCAAAACAGTGCATCTTTAGCAGCTTACTCTGTGCTCTTATAACAATACCTACAGATTCAGACCCATGGTTGCGTTGACATACATATGCATTTCAGCCAGCAAAGAGAATAGCTTTTGCACAGTAAGCCTACATTTCCCAAATCAGTCTTTGACCCCACAGCGACATGCCTATAGGACTGTTCTTTCCAAAATAAGAGCCATGCCAAGACCCACTATACATTCACACATTTCAGGGAACCAGAGAAAGGAGGTCACAGAATCTCCCCTGAAAAAATGTTTTCCTATTAACAAGGCGAGTATGTTACATTATAACTTAGAGGGGGAGATTTTCTAAATTTGTTGCAGCCCTGTATGATAGCCAGTCCGCTTCTAACTTCAGCATGTTCATTTAAGCTTTGGCAATAAAACCTAGAAGGTGATTGGTTTCTCTGTAGTTACGCCAGATTTTGCATTCTCCAGCTTTAGTTTATAGCCTCCATAGCAGGGGCGGACTGACAAGTCATAGGGCCCCTGGGCAATAGGGGATCATGGGGCCCCTGTGTCTATACCAACACCCAAAAAAGCCTATTAAAAAGCCAATGAAAGGTACCAGGGGCATCTCATGGGGCCCCCTACTGACCCCGGGCCCTCGGGCAGTGCCCGAGTTCCCAAATGGTCAGTCCGCCCCTGCTCCATAGTGTACTGATTTTGTTTGCCATTTCACATCTTTAGTGTTTTTATACACTTATTTGTATATAGCATTTGGAGGGCTTTTTTTCAGCAGGAACGTGGGGAAACGCAGGGAGAACCTCCAGCATTGAATGTATGTAATGGCAAGGTGTACAGCAATGTGCTGGAGGGTCTACTGATGATGGATGCTGGGGGATCTATTGTCACTGGAGGGAATTTTTTTTTGCATGGAGGTCTATTGTTGCTGGGGGAGGTCTATTGTTGCTGGAGGGGAATCTACTGTTGCTGGGGAGAGGGGTCATATATTGCTGAGGGGTCAATTGTTGCTACTATCTACTATTGAGCGAGAGCTATATTGATGCTGGCTGCTGTGAGATACTGTATGTTGCTGCTGCTGGGGGACTATTGTTGTTGGAGTGGATCTATTGCTGAGGGGTCAAATGTTGCTACTATCTACTATTGAGGGAGAGCTCTGTTGATGCTGGCTGCTGCGGGGATACTGTATGTTGCTGCTGCTGGGGGACTATTGTTGTTGGAGTGGATCTATTGTTGCTGGAGTGGTATTTTGTTGAGGGGGGTCCATTGTTGCTGGAAGAGTCTATTGTTGTGGGGAGTATGTATTGTGGTGGAGGGGTATTGTTACTGGCTGCAGGGATCTATTTTACTTTGTTTCTTGTTATAAAAAACTAATTTCGTACAAATTACTTAGCACCACAAAATGATACTCGGGTTGAGGTCAGGACTCTATGCAGGCCAGTCAAGTTCCTCCACCCCAAACTCGCTCATCCATGTCTTTATGGACCTTGCTTTGTGCACTGGTGTGCAGTCATGTTGGAACACGAAGGGCCATTCGCAAACTATTCCCACAAATTTGGGAGCATGAAATTGTCCAAAATGTCTTGGTATTCTGATACCTTAAGAGTTCCTTTCACTGAAACTAAGGGGCCAAGTTCAACCCCTGAAAAACAATCCCACACCATAACCCCCCCTCCACCAAACTTTACACTTGGCACAATGCAGTAAGGCAAGTACCGTTTTTCTGGCAACCGCCAAACCCAGACACATTCATCGGATTGTCAGACAGAGAAGCGTGATTCGTCACCCTAGAGAATACATCTCCATTTTTCTAGAGTACAGTGGCGGTGTGCTTTACACCACTGTATCCATCCAACGCTTTGCATCACACTTGGTGATGTAAGGCTTGGATGCAGCTGCTCGGCCGTATGGGGAAACACATTCCATGAAGCTCTCTACACACTTTTGTTGTGCTAATCTGAAGGCCACATGAAGTTTGGAGGTCCTTAGCTATTGACTCTGCAGACAGTTGGCGACTTCTGTGCACTGTGTGCTTCAGCATGTGCTGACCCCACTCTGTCATTTTGTGTGTGGTCTACCACTTCATGGCTGAGTTGTTGTTCCCATTTGCTTCCACTTTGTTATTAAACCACTAGCAGATGACTCTGGGATATTTAGTAGCAAGGAAATTTAATGGATGGACTTATTGCACAGGTGGCAACCTGCCACGGCACCACTCTTGAATTCACTGAGCTCCTGAGAGCGGCCCATTCTTTCACAAATGTTTGTAGAAGCAGTCTGCATGCCTAGGTGCTTGCTTTTATATACCTGCGGCCATAGAGGTGATTGAAACACCTGAATCCAATGATTTGGAGGGCTGGCCCAATACTTTTGACAATATAGTGTATATATAGACCTTTCTGAGATATAGCTGATTTGTCTGACAGTGAAGACATGCAGTAGAATTAACAATATTACAGCAGTTTTTCTTTGTTTTTAACAACATTTAAAAACTGTTTATTTGTGAAACAATGGGACTAAATGTGACTTTATAAAAGGTTTTTATTAGAATGAAAGTCAACATTACATTTAACACACTCTTTATCTGGAAAACATTTCCGAGAATCTTTACAAGGCAAAACACATAATAACCTTTAAAACTGCTTAAAGGTTTAAATAAAAAGGTTATAATAAAAGCCTATCGACAGAGACTTGTGATAAATAAATAATACGGTTTGGCATTAAAGCTGTGTCTTGGATCAACTCTAAAAACATTAAATATTATATGAAACATTTTGCCTGACCTCTTAGTGAAAGGATTAGTGTAACTTTGTTAAGCAAGTAATGCACATGTTGTAAACTGTTCTAATAATTGAGTTCTCTGCAATTTCCTGTTTTTTAGAATAGAGTTTTTGGGGCCTGTGAAAAGGAGGATCCTCAAACGAGGTGCTCAGTCACATAGCAGTGAGAGATGGGTGTGGTTTCTCAAGTAGGTGTGGTTAAGTATGATAAAAAACTATTTTATTCTGTTTTTGTAACAAAATAACTGATATTACTTGCAGCTTTCTACTAGTGCTTCCATTTTTAAGGGACCGCTAAAAATGTCTTTCTTATTCCAAGAGGTTGCATTTTAGTTGCAGATTGCTAAAAGTGACCCTATACTTTAACTAAGTGCTTGAAATAAAATTAAAACCAGCCTGTTAAATAAAAAGATGCATATTTACTATGTGTAATGTTTACCTTTATAACTGGCTGCAAAGTTATGGAATATTGTCCTTCCACTTTTCTATTCAATGTCAGTCTGTGGGCAGACTACCTGTGCTAGAAAGAAGGTGTTACATTACTTCGTATAAGTGTAACTCAGGGGCGGACTGACCATTTGGAAACTCGGGCACTGCCCGAGGGCCCGGGGTCAGTAGGGGGCCCCATGAGATGCCCCTGGTACCATTTTCATAGGCTTTTTTGAGTTTGGGCAAGGACACAGGGGCCCCATGATCCCCTATTGCCCGGGGGCCCCATGAGTTGTCAGTCCGCCCCTGGTGTAGCTTCATATATGTTGGCAAATATATGCAATAAAAACTGTTTTGAATGTAATTGGTAGGATCTCCCCTATGGTAACACAGGGTTTACCTCTATTTACTTTATCCAAAGCAACAAAAAAAAGATCTGTATAATAATAATGATCTGAGCTGGGATTTTCCATGAAGTAATAATGCAAATGAATGGGCTTTACTACATGTCATCACAGCTTGGGCTTTACTGCCTCTCAGACTGCATAACATCACTGCTTTTTATCGCAAAGTTACAATTTAGCGTGTTGCGGAAGCAGAAGTAGTGGCAGAATCAGTATGTACAGCATACGAACAGAGGTAAGGAAACAATGGCGTTACTAGACTTGTCACGTAAGGTCAAGCCCTGGTTCCCACAGATGCGGTGCAGCATATTGCATGT